CTTATCGTTTGTGTTTCCTTGGTCGCTCGTCCGCGTTCTCCTCCTCCTCCTCTTCATCCTTCATCGTTTGTGTTTCCTTGGTGCTCGTCTGCGCTCCCAATCTTCGTGTTCCTCCTCCTCCTCCTCCTCCACTCTCGTTCTCGCTGCTCCTCTTCCTCAATCCCGATGCCTCCGTCTGCTCCCCGCCCTGCGTACATGAATCATCTTGGTATCGGGTGTTGCCCCTGTCCTGCTGATCAGTGAGATGCGATACGGGCAAGGGAGCCACAGCTGCGTGTTTCTGTCGCGCACGTGTGCGTATACAGGTGCGCGCCAGTCTCTCCCAGTCCTCGTGTCGCATAGCCGTAGCTTGAGCGTTGTATAAAACATTCCCTTTCTGACAAGCCTTGTTTCTGCTTCGCCGTGGCATCTACTGGCCCCACTACTGAACGCTAGGGCCCCCTGCTCAGGAGGATCTGCAGTTCTGTCTGCTGCACCTTCGGGATCCACTGCGGCTGAGCCTGACTCGCTCCGTGCGCACGATCAGGTACTGCATGACCAAACATTCAGTACACGCGGCAAGATCAACAAACGGCACTGTGGTCGGACCCCTCACCGATGCCGCCCTTCCCTCCCGACCAACAGCCCCCATAGGAATCATGGCCATAACTGGCATAAACAAGTCCATAGCTGACAAAGTTAGGTCTAACCAACAATACAATACGTTCAGGTATGCTGTGATTCGGCATGCGTTGTGCCATTGCAAAGCCTGCCTAAACAACGCGACCCAAACAAGGCATCACATGTTCTCGTCACCCGCGTCAGGAAACGATTGTTGGATCCAGCTGCATGATTGGCCCCGATGGTAAAGCCAAGTCAAGAAGGATTGACCCAAATGGCCAGATATTAGCTAGCGTGGAACCCAGACAATTTTTCTAGCAATGTATGTGGAACAACTATGTGGTGCAACCTGATCGGCGCAATCTACGTTGTGCATTCCATGTCGTGCGTTATACGTGATGCAAACCATGTGGTGCCGTCTATGTGGTGCAACATCTGCGGCGCTGTCTCGTGGTGCAATCTACGTTGCCGAAACAGTGCTTGCACTTTGGGTTTCTCATTTGCTACCGAGGAACTGGGCCGGTGTGGCGGCGGCATTTGTTACTCAAGAGCTGGACCTGTGCGGCGGCGGCTGAGTTGTCGCCGTCGCCGCCACGTCGCCGCCTCGTCGCCGTCCGTCGTCTGGTCCTGGGTTGGCGGTCTGGCAGCTATGTTGTCGGCGTCGCCGCGCGCCGTCGACGCCCCGCTGCCGCCGAATACGTTGAATATGCTAGATTGCTTGGCACAAATTGCAGAACATAAGTAGCATCATTTAGATCGTACCAGGTGTATCGCACCATCAGAATGTTCCTCCCTGCGAAAATCTTGGGATATGCCGGTTGTTTCCCCTCGAAGCTAACTGTGCAAATTTTTCGCATTGCGATGTACATGCGATTCTGCATCATTTACCAGCCTAAGAATGGACCCGTACCATCCCAGGCAAGCCTGTAGCGTACTTAAGTTTCGTGTGGATTCAACGCTCGATGTACCGAAGCAAAATCTAACACACACACACATACACAATCCCACAACGGATACATGCGATACATCCAACCGCCGATACTAAGTTCACAGTCCCAAGAGTTGCATCCTAAAATGGGCTCTCTAAACGGAAGTTCAGGGCGACAATGTGTCCTCGCAAGCACAGCAAAGAAAGACTCTGTACTCAAAAGCTGGTATGCTGTAACCTGACCGCGTGCATCTGCGAACCGATCGAAAGAGCCACCCTTCGGATGATAAGGAGGTTGGGGGGATGTGCATGGAGCTCTCAGTTTGCGAGTGGCGTCGGATCGGTTTCGCGATAGGAAGAAAGCCCGCCATAGGCGGCAATCGTTTCTGGACGCCACAGCGTGGCAACCACGGACCACTCGTCGTGGCAACCACAGAACAATCACGGGGCAACCATCAGAACAATAATCGGACGGCCATCGGAGCAGCGAGTCAAGCAACCACTAACCACACGACAGCCACAGAACAGCCTGGGAAGGTGCCATCGGAACCGACATCGGAACAATGATCCAAACAACCACAAGCCGCGAAACAACCGCAGAACAACTACAGCACAACGACATAACCACTGCGGGACACCCGTCGAAACAACAGTCGGCACAACCGCGCGAGCAACCAGCAGAGAAAACTAGCGAACCACGGGACAACTGCAGGACAGCCCGCGGGGCAGCCACGGGGCCACCCGCGGTACGAACCCGGGGCAGCCACGGGACGCCCGCGGCACAGCCACGGAGCGACTGCAAAAACACCCGCGGCACGACCGCGGAGCAATCGCAAGGACAACCGCAAGGACAAACCACGGGACAGCCGCGGGACAATCGCGGGACAGCCACGAACCAACCAGTGGACAGCCACAAGAAAACTACAAGACGTTCGCGGGAGAACCTCGGGGCAAGCACGAAACCACGGGACGATCCTGCAAGAGCTGCGGGACAACCACGGATCAACCGCGGAACTATCACAAGACAACCGCGGGAAAACCATGGGACATCCGCGGGGCAACCACCATACTTGAGCAGGGACCGACCGTCCCGGCATTCCTATAGTCATATTACGAAATGTTCTTAGAACCCAAAGATGATCTAATAACAAAAACAAAGTTCTGAGAACATAAACCCGATGTTTAACAAAAAAGACAGTCCCAGCCAGAACTGTTCTAAGAACATGTCGTGGGAACCACAAAAGGTTCTTAGAACATTGTTTGGTAGGGCTATAGGCACGCTGGGACGCTTCGCCACTGCTTGACATACATCCACGGGCCAACCACAGAACAGCGACGGAACAACGACGGGACAACCACTGGGATAAGCGCGGCTCACCGCGGGGGGGGCACCACCCGCCCGGGGCGAGGAACAATCGGATCGCAGCCCGCTCCAAGGCTTTGGGTCTGCTCCACTGGTCCATGGGAGCCTATGTGTCACCCAGCGCTGTCCGATCTGGGCCTGATTTGGTCCAGAGCTGAACACATGTGGCATTCGGTTTGGACGGGGTGCGCTCCTTCACAGGGGAGACGAGAAGAACGCAGGGGATGGAAAACAGGATGGGCGAGGAGGGGCAGGAGGAAGTGCGCCAAATGCGGCCCAAATGCAGGACAGCTGATTTCAAAATCGCCGCCCATGGCTCCCCCGTGAACAGACATCGGACTAACAAAACAACGATTTTGTCTCACCTCGCCCAAAGCGCGTAACGCACGAACCGAAACCGAAACCGACTTCTGGGTTGGGGGGTTCCGCTTCACTTCGACTTCACCCCACAACTTCAAATGTTGGGGCGCGTGCCAAACGATCCGCGATAACGGCCGTCACCCTCCGCCCCCCAACCCAGGCAACGTCGCGAAAAGCGCCCTCGGGCGCCATCCTGGGATCGGGGGGCAGAGCGAAGGGCAGCTGGAATCAAAAAGCTAAGTATAGCGAGGCATACGGAATCGGTGCCGTGGAGACCCATGCCACGAAACCCCCTGCTTGCCTAAAGGGTGCCCTGGATGTCTTGGGTTTCGAGGGTTTTCCTACGAAGCGCGACGTTCCCACACCAAATATCAGTGGACGTCCTGGGGTCTCAGGGTTGGGTTTTTGGAGGAAGGTTTCTTGTGGTCCGCCGGCCCCGACTGTAAGAGTAGCAGGCGTGTGTAGTGCTCAAGGGGCGTCGCTCGCAAAATATTGTGGTGTTGAATGGGCTACGGCACACGGTTGTGCACACGTGCGGCGCTCTCAGGCTGTTCTGGTAGCGGCAGGGTCGGGCGTCGCTCGCCGTCTGGCGGTCGCAATCACACACCGTGGTGCTCCCTGGCAACTTGTGGTGCTCGCAGGCAAACTGTCGGGTACACGAGCACATTGGTTGCGCTCGCAGGCACACTGTGGTGCTCACAGGAGAAAGAAGGGAGGGGGTGCGAGGGGAGGAGGAAGGAGGCGAGGCCGTGCCAAAGCGCCATCTTTTAGTGAAGGGAGAGGGGAGGAGGGTACCGGCACGCCTGTGAGCATCAGTGCACCTGTGGGCACCATGAGATGCCTGCGAGCATCGCAATACCCTGCAAGCGCGACAGCATGCATGTGAGCACCAGGCTACCCAGAAACGCAACGATGGGCGCCCGCGACCATTCCATTCCTCCTTGCAAATCCTGGCTATCTCCAAGTACTCCCGCGTCTCCTAATCGTGGTTGCCCTCACGAATGGCCGCCTACCTGCCTGGCAGTTCCATAGCCAATCGTCACCCACCTGTCAACCCTAGCTGTCCTAACTATGCCTGCCTGCCGCAAGCCATTCCCAAACGCCGCGAGCTCACACAGTGACGTTTCACCTCGCCGCACACCCCCCCCAGAATAGAACGCACGCCGTCGCTGGGCGTGCGCGACCGGCCTCTGATCGACCTCCTACCAAAACCCGGTCAAAACCAGCCCCCAGAACCCTCCCGGGGCCAATCCTGGCGACTTGTCCAGGATGTGTCCCGCGTTGGCGACGACAACCTCAAGGCACACCCAGCCTAAAGATCCAAACCGACGACGTCAACGACAACGTCTGCGACGACGATCGAGATGACGATCTGGACGACGATCCTGACCCCAGATCGAGCCCCGCATCTATGCTTGGATGCATCCTGGCCCGCGTGTTGACGACAATGCAGTCGCGGCGACGAGCAGCCTATCGGAACTCCTCCTGTGTGCCACAAAAACCGAGCACGGCGGGTTTCATTAATCACCAGGTCGGGTCCCGACTAATGATCAACTGTGGACATCAGCGGCTGATGCTCGAAGCATATGCGGACCACTACATGGACGTGGACCTGCTCTCGAACTGCTTGTGCACATGAAGCTCGTGTTCGCGAGTCAGTGCCTCCACATCCATGTGCTCGGCAAGTACTTCTAATATCGAAGCACAGTTGGGCCAGCTCGGTCACGAGAAGGCTGAGCATGGCCTGCAGGCGCAGTCCCAGGGATCCGAGAAATATACAGCAATCCCAGCAACAAGTCAAAGGCACCAACCACAGGAGAAAACGAGATCGCGAAAATGGAAAGAGCGTGTTCTACCGCTGCTGGCGGAAAACCGGGGGGGGGGTCACTACCGGTTCGAACCCCTCCCCCCCCCCCCCCCTCCGGAAAACCGGGGGGGGGCACTACTGGTTCGAACCCCTCCCCCCCCCCCCCCAGCTCATCATGAAAAGGGGGGGGGGGTCACTACCGGTTCGAACCCCTCCCCCCCCCCCTCTCGAAAACCCAGTGGGGGTGCGGACAGAGGTGGGGACGGTGTTGGTGGGACAGTGGTGAGGGGACAGCGGGACAGTGGTGGGGACAGTGGGACAGTGGGACAGAGGGGCCGGTAGTGGTGGGGACAGTGGTGAGGACAATGGTGGGAACAGGGGGGACAGTGGACAGTGGTGGGGACGGTGGTGGTGGTGACAGTGGTGTGGGCACAGTGGGAATGAGGTGGAAACAATGGGACAGTAGAAGATACAATGGTGGTGGGGACAGTGGTGAAGGCGGTGGCGAGGACGGCGGTAAAACAATGAAACAGAAGTACAGTGGGGACAGTGGTGGGGACAGTGGGGACAGTGGTGGGAACAGTGGGACAGCTCAGTGGGACAGCGGCGGAGTCGGTGGGACAGTGGGGACAGTGGGGATAGTCGGGCAGTGGTTGGGGCCGTGGAGACAGTGGGGAGAGTGGAACCGTGGTGGGAACAGTGGTGGGGACAGTGGGGACAGTGCGACAGTGGTGGGGGCACTGGTGGGGACACAGTGGGGAAAGTGGTGGTGAGGACAGTGGTGCTGGGAACAACAGTGGAGGATGTGATGCGGACGGTGGTAGGGACCGGGAGTCGTTTGCTGGCGGTGAGTGGGGGGGTAGGGAGGGGTTCGAACCGGTAGTGATCCCCCTCCGGTTTTCGAGGGGGGTGGGGGGGTTCGAACCGGTAGTGACCCCCCCCGGTTTTCCGGATCCGGAGGGGGGTGGGGGGGTTCGAACCGGTAGTGACCCCCCCCGGTTTTCGAGGGGGAGGGGGGGGGGGGGGAGGGGGGGAGGGGGGGGTTTTGCCGGGGGGGGGGTGGGGGGGTCCAGCAGGGGGGGGGGGGATTTTCGGAGGGGGGGGGGGGGGGGCGACCCCCGGGTTCCGGAGGAAAAGGTTGGCAATTTTCCACAGTAAAGCGGCGGTGGATCACGCTCTCTCCGAGAATGACACAGGACGAATTGGCCAGCATGAATTGGCGACGCGGCGAAGGGGGCGAGGTACAAGTGCGGGCGGTAAGGGGAGTCATGGTGGAGGGAAGCGCGCGGAATGAACGGTGCAAGAAGAAGGAACTGTAGGACAGGGAACGGGCAGAGTTCGGTGGCGACTCATGGGAGCCTCCCATACCATCTTGTCGGCTGGTGCGAATCGACGCTGATCGACGCTAAATCGACGCTAATCGACGTTAGTTGACGCTCCATCGACGCTTATCGGCGCAACATTGGCGCTAACTCATCGACTCCCAGACGCTAATCGACGCCAAAGACGGAATTACGAGGGTACACATGGCTCCCATGGTTTGCTACCTAAGGTAATGAGAAGGAGAGTCATGGGGGAGGGAAGCGTGCGGTATGAACGGTGCACGAACGAACTGTGAGACAGGGAACGGGCGGAGTGGGAGACGAGAGCAGAGCTGGGGGATCTCCACTGACCACATCACCGATCCCGGCAGGGCACAACCTGGGCCCAGGAAGGGCCCGGCCAGGATCGGTGAGGTGGTCAGCTGACGCCCCCCGAACACAGACACCTGAATTCGCCTGCTCTCGCTCTCTCCTTCGTCCCCGGCCACACGCTTCTGGATGATGATCGTGGGCTGGGGCAGGAACGGTCCTGCTCTGTCCCTGAACGAAGAGAAGGCCCCCTCACTCTTATCCACAACTGCCTCATGTTCTCCCACGCTCAAGGAACTCTGGCCGCGCACAGGGGGAGGAGGAAGAGGAGGAGGAGGAGGAGGAGGAGAAGGACGAGGAGGAGGAGGAGCAGGAGAAGGAGCAGGGAGGAGGAGGAGGAGAAGGACGAGGAGGAGGAGGAGGAGAAGGACGAGGAGGAGGAGGAGGAGGAGGAGGGGTGGGGCCACAGCCAGCGAGCGACGAGATCGCGGACAGAAGGGATGGGCGGCCAGAGAAAGCGAGTGAGAGGCTGGGTGTGCGCGCAATCGGAGAGTCAACGTCGCGCGGCTGCTTACGCCCTCAAAAGGGTGCGCGCGTGTGCGCCGACCCGCGTGCAGGCGCGGTGAAGGGGGGCAGGGGCATGAGAGCGAAACCGCGAGTGGAAAGCTCAGCTCCGCGGGGAGGGGGGAAGGGGACGGGGGACGCGTGGGCAAAGAGCGGCACAGAAGAGCCTCAAACTGTTGAATGCTGCCGCCCCCTCTGTAGCCTCCGGGGGAGCTCTCTGGAACTATATTCGCATCATGTTGGCTAGTTTTCCGGGCCGTATTCCTCTTCTGGAGACTTCTCCAAGGTCTCTACGAACGTCTTTCGTCCCCCTTGGGAGCGCACTCGGCAAATCACACACACACACACATGCTGAATCGCGCAGTGCGGTTCCAAAGCCCCACGACGACTCCCAAAGCGAGAAGGTCAGGGGCAACTATCCGAAGATGTATCCACAGCTCGCTCGCTCATACGACAACGCATCTAAGGAATTTTTCTCGATGTGCACACCACGAGCAACGAACATGTCTGCAATTCTGGGGCGCAATCCCGTGGACACACGGTCGCGTGGACGCGGCCCGCGCGGAGCATCCGCGAACAAAAACATCCTGGAACCATCGGGTCGCGGCCCGGGGACCAGGCGAGCCCAGAATCGAATCGACGAGTCGGATCGGCGATCCAACTGAATCGGATCGGCGGAGATCGACAGCCACGTCGAGATAAGTCGAATTTCGAACCGGCAGAAATCGGCAGGCTGGAAGGCAGGCCTCCACTGAGGAATCGGAACCCGCATCGGAACCCCAAGCCGAAGCGAATCGGAATCGGAGGCCATCGAAATCGCATCGAAACCGGAATCGGCGAAATCCAAATGAGCCCTAAGGGACCCGGCCCTTCAGGCCGTGGGTTCAGGGATCTTCTGACCCGGGTCAATCCAGACCCGGGTCAGCAGGAAACCAAAAACTGCACGACAGAAAAAAAAACAACTGCAGCGCAGCTCTTCGCAAACCCGGGTCAGCCCATAGGCGCGGCCGCCTCGCGGCCACGAGCGGCTCGCTAACCCAGGTCAGCCAAGAGGGGTCTTCGCAGGATCCTGCAGGATCCGGTGCCCTGGCCGACCCCCGTTTGCACTGACCCCCGTCTCCAGGCTCCCGATGGGTACGGGCAGGTGTCCCGCCGGCGAGCACGGATGCTCCGGAGCGGGCGCGGCACGGGTCTGGAGGCCTGCTCGACCACGGAGCGCGGCAGCCCCGCAGCGGAGAAGCCGTGCTGGTCGGAGAGCTTCTGCGGGGCACGGCGGGACGAGGGCGCGAGCGCCGCGGAACAGAGAGGTCGGCAGGAGTGAGGTCACGCGAGGGGGAGAGGGGAAGAGAGAGGCGTGCCAAGCGAAGCACACATCTGGAGCGAGAGGGAGAGAGATGTGGCCTGGGAGGACGGCGGCGAGAAAGGGAAGATCATGGTGAGAGGGACCTGACAGGTAGAGTGATGGGGTGCAAAGGGATGGGAGAGAAGATGAGTATAGCGAACCAAAACCCCTAAGGTGATCTCATAATTCGCATGTGCATTCAAACAGACCTGCGTGCTTGTCATGGACACTGCGCACGCCCGATCCCCGACGGACGACATGACGCTGCCAAATAATTCACCACTGTGTTCATTCCCCTAAAGCAACCCTGCGTAGGCGCAAAATTCCCTCTTGCCCATATGCACCGCGTGAAACGCGTGACCAAGCCAACATCTTCCAAACAGGGAGCGACACACCATCACTTCACGCACCATTTTGAGTGAAACAGCGCGGCAAAGACAATCCCATTAGTGTCGAGCAATTCCCAACATTGCACACCTTTACCGGACGATGGATACAACACCTGCATGTCACCAGCGGCGACACCCGTGCATCAACATTATTGCGTCGTGCCAGTTCAACAATGCCTGGAACCAGAACAACATACTTATCAGATCGCCCTCCGTCTTACAATGCATTCATATGAACGTCTGTTGTGGCGTGCTTACTGGCGCAGCCCGCGCGAATACGCGTCTGCAAGCTATTGGTTCCCATTCTCAAAACACCATTCCGAAGCGCATGTTCCTCATGCCGCTAAATCTTCACAGCATCCAGCTTCACGAATCAAAGAAGATCACCACACTCGCGGGAAATACGGGCAGACATTGTGATAACGCTGACAAGCTCAGAGCGCAACATGTCCACTACAAGGCGCTGTGGGGGCATACAGCGGTGCAGGATTCCCAAGACGATGGGCGCAACGTATTTTTCTATGCGCATGTGTGAGCGTTGTATTTCAAGTGCCTTATCTTGACATTGGCCGCCCCTGATCACAGCAATGCAAAATGGCGGAGGTGGTTTTCCCTACCCCATCATTTTCTGCCATATTACTGAGCCTCTTCATCCTCCACATCCGACCACTTCCGAGTCCAAATCGTACCCGTCTGCCTCCTCTTCCTCGTCGCCCTCCTTCCCCTCTTCTTCCCCCCCATCTCTGCACAATCCCTCCTCCTTCGTTCACTGAAAATATTCCGCTGTCCCCCAGAACTCATTCTTATACATATCTCACCCTATCCACCTCCTCCCAAAGCCTCCTCATCACACCCCTCGACATCACCACCTTCTGTTTGCATCTGCTGCCGCATCTCAGAAACCTCATCAACCTTCGCCTGATCCTCATCATCCGCATCCTTCGCCCCTCACCGTCGTCCCAACATTCTCCTGCAAACTCATCCTTGTCCTCTCCACCCTTCATCCTCATCATCCCCCTCCTCCTCCTCCTCCTCCTCCTCCTCCTTCTCCTCCCCTCATCAAAAACATCCTCTTTGTACACCCTGCTCCCAATCAACCTCCTGCGCACTGGGAATCCTCATCTTATCCCCCTCCCCCAACCAATACATTCCTCCCGTCTCATCCCCACCCTCATCCGCAATCAATCCCTCAACCGTCCTCATCTCTGTTGCTATCCCACCATCTACCTTGTTTCTACCCCATCCTCCGCATCAGCGTCTTCGTCCATCCCTCCATCAATCTCTATTATGCAGCCTTCCTACACCCGTCCTCATCCCCCTCCATCATCATGCACTCCCCTATCAATCATCCCCCCACCCCTGATCCTCATCGTCATCACCACCGTCACCACTACCATCACCACCACCCGCTCCATCACCGTCATCATTATCAGCAGCAACACCACCATCATCATCATCACCACCACCAGCATCATCATGATCAGCATCATACACATCAGCCTCAGCATCATCATCAGTATCAATTGCGTCATCATCACCATCATCACCACCACCAACATTACCATACTCGCCATCGTCAGCATCATCATCCTCATCATCAGCAGTAGCAGCACCATCATGAGCATCATCATCATATTCAACGCCATCGTCATCATCGGCAACAGCAGCAGCAACAACAGAAGCAACCGCATCGCCACCACCATCATCATGCTCAGCATCAGCATCAGCATCATCACCTTCATCATCACCGCCATCATCATCATCGTCACCAACACCATCAGCATCATCACCACAGTCATCAGCATCAGCACCATCAGCATCATCAGCATCGTCGTCGTCATCGTCATCGTCATCGCCATCGGCATCGTAATCAGCATCGTCATCGTCATAATCAGAATCAGTAACCTCATCTTCAGCATCATCGACAGCAGCAACCTCATCGTCGGCAGCAGCAACCTCAGAATCAACAGTGCCAACCCACCTCCCCGCCCACCATGTGCCCATCTTCCCCTCTCCTCCCCCTCCTCCTCCTCCTGGACATCCTCCGGCACCTTTTCCATCGTCTTCAACATCATCATGCATTCTCGTCATCGCCGTCCCGTCCCTCCGCATCCGTTCCCCTCCCTCTTCATCCGTCCTTCGGCACGTACCCGATACCACTACGGCTCTCCCTTCTCGCCTGACTGTGTGCGGCAAATGTCACGCGCTCTCCGCGTAGTGTTTGGTCTGCATGGCTTCCCCATCCTCCGCCTTACGCAGGTCCTCCTGCTGCTCCCTCTCCTTCCGCTCAAGCTCCTGCTGCTGCTGTGCGGCCTCGACCCCCCCCTTCCTCGTCCTCCTCCTGATCCTCCTGCTCGTGTTTCTGCTCATCCACCACCTCCTTCCCATCGAATGTACGCACCAACCGTTTTTGTCCGATTGCGCGCAACACGATGGGGTCCTTCTTGGAAGTCAAGGTCCGCCAAGACACGCGTCGGTGGATGGATCAATCATCCCCGCAACGGGAAGTGGCGGGTGGGAGGGGCAGGATGTCAGGTATGACGCGAGCGCACCTGGCTTGCCATCCTAATCGCTACACGATGGCTGTAACTGCTGCAGTTCCCCCCCCCCCCCCCACACACACACACACACACCCGACCTGCAACATTCTTCCCATCCCTTCTCGTCCATAGTCGTCCCCCTCTTCCTCACCCATCCTCCTCTCCTGCCCCATCCTCCCCGCATCGTTATCCCTCTCCCTTCTCATCCCTTTGCAGCACCCTCCTCCTCAGTTGTATGTTTTTTTTCTGATTTCCCCCCCCCCCCCCTCCCACCTTCTTCCTCCTCTGCCCCCGCCCCCCGCATCGTTCTTCAATGCCCTACTCGTCGTTACTCATCCCCCTCGTCCTCGCTCGTCCTCCTCGCCTGCTCTCCTCCCCCACCCCCGTATCATTCTCCCCATCCCAACTTGTCCATGCTCCCCCCGCCTCTTCCTCACTTGTCCTCCTCTCCTACCCCTTTCCAGCATCCGTCTCCCCCTCCCGACCTACACACCCCTCTTCCTCACTCGTCCTCCTCTCCTTCCCCCCCCCCCCCCCCCCCCACCACACACACACACACACACACACACACACACACACACACACACCACACACACACACACACACACACACACACACACACACACACACACACACACACGCACATCGTTCTGCTCTGCCCTTCCCCCCCCCCCCTCACCCGTCCTCCTTTCCTCCCCCCCCCCCGCCCACACATCTGTTTGCTCTACCCGTCCCAATTCCCCCCCCCTCCTCGCTCGTCCTCCACTCATTCCCCACGCGTCGCACGGGTCTCAGGATCCGAGGGAAGCAGTGCTGTGGTGACGCTCTGAGCGTAGCGAGGAGGAGAGCCTCGAGCAGACCCATGGGGGCGTGGGGCTCCCTCTCGCTATAACTTGAGCCTTTGCGCGTCGTTCTTTATATTTTGTTTGTAGCAAGGGAACTTGCTCCAGTCTCTAGCATTAGGTGTCGGGCAGGCCCTCCTACAGGGGGAAGTTGGACGACATATACAAAATAGCCAAACAAATACCCCCAAATAGTCAATCAATCGTAGAAACATCGTCCCCAGACTATTCGTTTGACTACTTGGGGGCACCCCTCCTGACACGCCCGACTCAAGTCTAGCACAAACTATGATAGACTCTCGCAACCCCCCCCCGCCCCTCGCTCGCCGTCCTGGTAGATGCCGATGATCCTGTCGCTGCTCTCGTCGCTGGCGGGCGCGTGCGCAGGCGCCCGCGCGGAGGGCGCACGGAGCCCCGTAAGGAAAGGAGGGCCTCCGGCAGGGTGGGCCCAGGGGGGGGGGGCGGCGCTTCCGGAGCGCGAAAGGAGAGGAGGAGGAGGGGGAGGGGGAGGAGGAGGAGGAGGAGGAGGAGGAGGAGGAGGAGGAGGAGGAGGAGGAGGAGGAGGAGGAGGCCCTCCTGCTCCGCCCGCTCATCACCGCCCGTCCCCATCCCGCACGCAGCCTCCTCCTGCTCGCGCCGTCGCTCGGGCGTGCGCTCCCCTGCGCAGCCATCGGTGTCGCGAGTGCTGCTGCGCGTGAAGTGGCCTGAGATGCAGCGATGCGCGCGTCCGAGCGACGCCACGTATTCCCCCACGTCTCCTCCGCATCCTCCATCCTGTTCCTCCTTCGTCACGTCCCCTCATACCACTCCCCGCGCGGAGCGCCTCCTCCTCCTCCTCCTCCTCCTCCTCCTCCTCCTCCTCCTCCTCGACCCGCCCATCCCACCTTTTCCTCGTCCGCCTTTGATTCCCCAGGGGAGTCATCCGCACCTACCTCATCCTCAGCATCCTCGAGAATCCCTTCTCATCCTTCTCCCCTCCACGACGAGCGGAGGTCCTCACATGGTTCATGGACCTGCCCCAGGGCGAGAGGCAGAGGTCGGAAAGCGACACTCAAGCATCGAGTCATCGCAGCGACGTGCGCAATGCGAATCAAAAGGTCGCCAGGCAAGCCTCGACCACCGCACGAGCCGACCTGCACTAGGCACGGTCATGCAAGCGGGAGCCGTGGCCTGAAACAGAGGGCAGACGCGCCGCGTGCAAGATCCCCCAAGGCTTACGCGCCCAATGATAGCACACGCACTGTGAGCCGTCCGGCTCTATCTCGCCCAGAAGGTACAGTAGGGGCCTGACCACAAGAAACCTTCCACAAGAAACCCAACCCTGAGACCCCAGGACGCCCATGGATGTTTGGTGATCGAACGTCACGCTTTCCATCGCAAAACCATCGAAACCCAAGAAACCCAGGGCACCCTGGAGGCAAGCAGGGTGTTTCTTGGCATGGGCCTCCACTGTAAAAGGACGACGACTGCTCTACTCAATCAGACATAATAGGGCAGCACTGCTCCGCCACCCCCTCCAATCGAAAATGGCTACGGAGGAGAGGGGCACCAGACTTCCTCACTAATGACCTCCGCCCCCCAGGACTGAAACGGTCACAGCTTCGTATTGTAATTCAAATATGATTATGCCCCATCGTCCTCCCTGAGTATGAACTCATGCCATCCCAGGCAATCCTGGTAACGCGCGCAGTCGTTTACCCCAAATCGTCAGTTTTCAAGAACCCCTTGCAAAAATATAGGCACGCGCGCGGCGTCGCGCGCGCATGCTGAAATCCTTCAAACAAAAGGGGTCTCGTAGGCATTCAAAATCGGGTGTCCAACACACATACCAAACACATGGTTTCGCCACACGGGTTTTCAAAACAAAAAGACACGCGCGCGCTGCTGCGAATTCTTGGGGGGGGGGGGGGAAAACAATCGGTGTTTCACATGTCCAAGAAATTATGCCAAGCGGGTTTGGCGCGCGCATGTCGGAATCGTTTGATTGCCCTTGCGTGCATGCTGTCGCAAAAAAAACTGTTTTTTGCAAACCATGGGACGACATGCGTACGCGCGCATCGTCGCGCGCGCATGCAGAAACCTTGCAAGAACCTGAAGCCCCGTAAAGATTTCAAAACAGAGTGTCCCGACGCTATATAAGACACATGGTTTCGCAACAACATTTCTTATAACAAAAAATCAGCTCTCGCGCCCTTGCAAATCCTTCAGGCAAACCGCCGTCGTGTTTCTGCCGAGCGGGCCGCCCGCGCCGCATGCCAAAATCATTCGAATGACTTTGCGCGCGTGCTGAGGGGGGGCACGATCCGTCTCAAGTAATACCTTGCGGGCAAGTCGACCTCCTTCCGAAACCTTCATCACCGACGCGACGACGGCATCATCGTCGTCGGCGTGATCAGCATTGGCGCCGTCAGTGGCCGTGCCGTCGTCGTTGCCAACATGGCCACCAACATCGCTACTATCATCATCATGTCTACCGCTGTCGACGTTGCCAGCGCCTGCCCAAGTCGCCGACTCGCCCTAAACTGCTCGCTGGGATGTGCCCATCGGTCAACGCCACCGTGGCCGCGACGGTCGCGCCAATCTAGCTGGCCGCTGCGCGCGCGTGCATGTACGGGCGAGCACGGCCGCAGATATGCACCAGCCAACACCAAGCACTCATCACAATCGCCTCCGCATGGCTTTTGCGAGCCAAGTTGCGGGTGGGTGGGTGGGATGATTGCGCGAGCAGTGGAGCTCAGAACTTGGAGGTAAGCATTCGTGAAATGCGCCGAGTAGATTACACCACGCAGATTTATACAACGTAGATTGCACCACCCGCAAAACACCACAACTATTGCACCACATAAGACTGCACCACATAGCTTGCACAACATAACTTACACCGCATAGACCGCAGCCATTTTGGCTCATGCCCCACTTGGACCCCCGCGGGGGTCCAAACGGGGTGAGTGCCCTGTAGCCTGTATGGCTCAGTGGCGCCGCCCTCGCGTGGCGTGTCCTTCTGGGGGGCGCGCGGCAAACGGTTGTGCGGGCGCGGGGGTCCTCTGATCCCCGCGCCTCCGATGGAGGCGGCGGCAGGGCCTCCTGGCTGCGGCGGCGGGGCGCTGCCGGGCGGGGGCCACTGGTGCAGTGTCCTGGCCATGATCCTCCACGCGTTGGCGCCGGCGCCTGCGGCCCCCCCGGCGCCCCCCAATAGCGTGTGCGGCGGGGCAGGAGATCATGGCCTTGCTGCACAGGGGACCAGTCAGCCGCGAGCTGGCGGCGGAGGCGGAGGTGCTGAGGCCCGACGCCGAGCCTTGTGTGCCGATGCGTGGCGGCGCCCCGGCAGACGAGGAGCTGTGCGGCATGAGCGCAGACCTGGCCGAGTGCGGGGAGCGTCCGGTAGCTCCAGGCGTCTGGGACGACGTGTACGGTGGCGACGTGGGCGGCGGCTGGCTGGCGACTAGGCGCCCCGTCAGGTCGCGTTCGTGCAGCGGCGGCCGCGGCGGAAAGCCGCTCGGCACTCGGCATGGCGTTCCGCTTCGAAGTGCTCGGCGGCGACGACGGCGGCGACGAGGCGCTGGCGGTGGGCGTGCAGGACACGCCCCCCGTGCGGTGCCGAGGCTGTCCAGCGGTGCGGGCGCAGCGCCCCTGCTGGGCGGCGCCGGGGTGCCCGCGAGGGCCGTGCCGCGCGCTGGGAGGCCGCCCAGGCCCTTGCCGCCCGCACGGCCGTGTCCTGGGCGGAGGCCGAGACGGAGCGGCGGGCGCTGGCTGCGCGCGCGACGGCAGTCCGCCGTCTGCAGGGGCTGGTGCGGTGCTGGCCGGCACGGGGGGCCGCAGCCGCGAGGCGGCGGGTGCGGGCGTCCGAAGTGCACGAAGCGACGCTGCAGGACGCGGACGACCGCGATCAGGACGAGGTGCCGTCCGAAGCCGTTGTAGGGGCGCTCGGGGTGCAGATTCTCGTTGAGGCGAGGTCCGGAGACAGCGGCGACGTCGACGGGGCCGCGGGCGGTGGCGTGGCCCTGGACGGCGGCGAGGGGAAGGACGAGGTGCACGTGGCCGAGGCCGCGGGCAAGTTGGGAGCTGGCGGCAAGCGGCGCCGTCGGCCGAGACGCGACGCCCTCGCGAAGCAGGTGGACACGGACCTAGCGTTCCTGGAGCATGAGCGAGCGAGGGGTGGGAAGGAGAGGAAAGAGCTTCGCCGCGACAACGGCGGGGTGGAGAGCCTCCGTCAATCCATGGCCGCCGTCGCGCGCGACATAAAGGAGTATGGCGACCCTGGCGGGCAACTCCTGGTGATGCTGGAGTGCTTCGCGGCGGGAATCGTTTGGCTTCCAGGGTGGCAGCATTCCACAGCACCTTCTGAATGATCCTGGTCTCTGAGAGGCTGATGGTCGTTCTTTTGGGTGTGTTGTGGGTGGCACGTTCTTGCATCCTGTTTGATTGTGCCAACCTCTGGCCGACAGGGCTGCGAAGTGGGGTTGGCCCCTCAGAGGCTGATATGATGGGCTCCCGTGGGAGCCAGTGTACCGTGCGCCCCCTCGCATTGAGATGAGGTGTGTGGTCAATGTGAAAGCTTCCACCGCACAGATTGCACCGCACAGCATACGCAACATAGGTTTCACAACATTACTCACTGCGTGAAACCCCCCAATTGTGCATCTCGTGTTTTTAAATCATGCCATAGCGAACGTCTGTTCATGAGCGCTTGACTATAATAGCGCGTCCACATGGGCGACAGGGCCGACGAAGACGAGTGAATCCTAATGCGAGTGAATGAGTATGAATCAGAATGAGTTTTGACTCAACATCTGCTCTGAAAGCCAAGGATGTTGGGCATGAAAACGAGCAAACCACCCGAAGCATCCCCACAAACTGGCCGCGAACGGGCCCGTGCAACCACCCCTGGCGGCTCCCCTTAGGGGTGCTGAAACCTGCGCCCCGCCTGAGACATCCTCAACATCTGCTTTGGAAGCTAAGGAAGTTAGGTATGAAAGCGAGCGGACCGCTTGAGGCATCCCCACAAAGTGGCCGCGAACGGGCCCGTGCAACCACCCCTTGCGGCTCCCCTTTAAGGGTGCTGAAACCAGCGCCCCGCCTGAGACATCCTCAACCTCTGCTCTGTAAGCTACTAAGGATGTTGGGCATGAAAACGGACAGACCGCCTGAAGCATCCCCACAAACTGGCCGCGAACGGGCCCGTGCAACCACCCTTGGCGGCTCCCCTTAGGGGTGCTGAAGCCTGCGCCCCGCCTGAGACATCCTCAACATCTGCTCTGACAGCCAAGGGTGTTGGGCATGAAAACAAGCAAACCGCCCGAGGCATCCCCACAAACTGGCCGCGAACGGGCCTGTGCAACCACCCCTGGCGGCTCCCCTTAGGGGTGCTGAAACCAGCGCCCCGCCTGAGACATCCTCAACATATGCTCTGAAAGCAAAGGATGTTAGGAAAACGAGCAGACCACCTGGGACATCCCCGCCAACTGGCCGCGAACGGGCCCGCGCAACCACCGCATCGCAGCTCCCTTTAGGGGTGCTGAAACCAGCGCCCCACCTGAGACCCGCCCGAATATGAGTAAGTCTGTGTATGAGTAAGCTTGTGCATGTGTACGTGTGGGTATGAGTAAGTCTGAGGACGAGTGGGTCCCAGTAATAATAATTATGTGTTTAAATGCTTTTGGACATGAGCCTCGTATGTGGAGGCGGGAAGAGGAGGGGACGAGAAGAGAACGGAGGAGGAGGAGGAGGAGGAGGCGCCCAAGTAATACTTACTCACTGCGTGGAGCTCCCCGTATGTGCATCTCATGTTTTATGTCATGCCACAGCGAGCGTCTGTTCATGAGCGCTTAACTATAATAGCACGTCCACATGGGCGACAGGGCCGACGAAGACGAGTGAATCCTAACGCGAATGAGTGGGTATGAATCAGAATGAGCGTTGACCCAAAATCTGCTCTGAAAGCCAAGGGTGCTGGGCATGAAAACGAGCAAACCGCCTGAGACATCCCCACCAACTGGCCGCGAACGGGCCCGTGCAACCACCCCTGGTGGCTCCCCTTAGGCATGCTGAAACCAGCGCACCGCCTGAGACATCCTCAACATCTGATATGACAGCCAAGGATGTTGGGCATGAAAACGAGCAAACCGCCTGAGACATCCCCACTACCTGGCCGCGAACGGGCCCGTGCAACCACCCCTGGCGGCTCCCCTTAGGGGTGCTGGAACCAACGCCCCAAAGATGCTGGGCATGAAAACGGGCAAACCGCCTGAGACATCTCTACAAACTGGCAGCGAACGGGCCCGTGCAACCACCCCTGGCGGCGCCCCTTCGGGGTGCTGGAACCAGCGCCCCGCCTGAGACATCCTCAAGATCTGCTCTGAAAGCCAAGGATGTTGGGCATGAAAACAAGCAAACGCCTGAGGCATCCTCACAAACTGGCCGCGCGCGGGCCCGTGCAACCACCCCTGGCGGCGCCCCTTAGGGGTTCTGAAACCAACGCCCCGCCTGAGACATCCTCAACATCTGCTCTGAAAGCCAAGGATGTTGGGCATGAAAGCGCACAAACCGCCTGAGACATCCCCACTAACTGCCCGCGAACGGGCCCGTGCAACCACCCCTGGCGGCTCCCCTTAGGGGTGCTGGAACCGGCGCCCCGCCTGAGACACTCTGAAAGCAGAAGGGTGTTGGGCATGAAAACAAGCAAACCGCCTGATACATCCCCACAAACTGGCAGCGAACGGACCCGTGCAACCACCCCTGGCGGCTCCCCTTAGGCATGCTGAAACCAGCGCCCCGCCTGAGACATCCTCAAAATCTGCTCTGAAAGCAAAGGGTGTTGGGCATGAAAACGAGCAAACCGTCTGAGACATCCCCACCAACTGGCCGCGAACGGGCCCGTGCATGGCGGCTCCCCTTAGGGGTGCTGGAACCAGCGCCCCGCCTGAGACATCCTCAACATCTGCTTTGGAAGCAAAGGGTTTTGTGCATGAGAACGAGCAAACCACTTGAGACATCCCCACTAACTGGCCGCGAACGGGCCCGTGCAACCACCCCTGGCGGCGCCCCTTAGGGGTGATGAAATCAGCGCCCCGCCTGAGACATCCTCAACATCTGCTCTGAAAGCCAAGGATGTTGGGCATGAGAACGAGCAAACCGCCTGAGACATCCCCACCAACTGGCCACAAACGGGCCCGTGCAACCACCCCTGGCGGCTCCCCTTAGGGGTGCTGAAACAAGCGTTCCGCCTGAGACATCCTCAACATCTGCTCTGAAAGCCAAGGATGTTGGGCATGAAAACGAGCAAACCACCTAAGACATCCCCACAAACTGGCCGCGAACGGGCCCGTGCAACCACCCCTGGCGGCGCCCCGTATTGCACCACAAAGCTTACACCCCATAGTCCCCCGCATAATCTGCACCACGTAGACTGCACCGCATAGCTTAGATTGCACCACGCAGGTTGCGCCACACAGGGTGCACCACATCGATTGCACCACGTAGATTGGACCGCACATTTTGCTCGAAACGTACTGTTTGGGGTCCACGCTGGCTGACATTTTGCAAACAAGAACTCGATGGGTCTCGGGCCAGCCGTCGCCGTCCGAGTTTTGCGCGCTGCATACAAAAAACGTTGATATCCAAGGGGCCGCCGAGGACCCTAGCGGTGCAATGATCGAAGTGCTCCAGAACCACCGTCTCAATCAAGTCCGCCACCGCCGACGCGGGCATCCGCAGAGTAGGTCGCTGTGCGGCAAGGGCTACTTGCAAACCCTGTCTTGCGACCGCTGGGACCGCTGGCACCAGGCCCAGCGCTCCAGCAGCTGCTGCAGGAGGCAACCCCAGGCTGCGGCCCAGGTGAGGCCCGAGTCCCGGGGGGTCCTCGTCCATACCCGAGTTCTCAGCCGCTGCAGCGGGGGCTGCCGCGCCGCCGAATTCGAATTGTTGATGTGCAGCGCAAACGTCCGCGCCTGGCCTGGAGGGGCCCGCCACACCATGGGCCGCGCACACCCGGCCACATCCCTCCATGGCTGTGCTTACGAGCGCAGAAGCCGGAAATCCCGCGATTCACCAAATGCTCGCGAACATGCTCGCGAGCGGCCCAGGTCGGGCAAGCTATGTAGTATAGCCAGATCTTGCGAACTTGAACCATTAGAAATGAAATCATAATAGAGAGCTCGATCCAGCATCGATGCAAAATCGCCATGGAATTGGAACCAGCTCTAACAGAATCCTAATAGGGCTGGTTTCATTTTCAATAGCACCCTACTAGGGCTAGATCCAGCTTCGACATAATCCTATTAAGGGTCGATCCAGCTTTAACAGATTCCTACCAAGGCTCGATTCAGCTCTAATCGCACCCCATCAGGGCTCGATCGTCGTAGTCGGCGTCGTCGTAGGCGTCCTCGTCGTCGTCGTCGCCGTCGCTGTCTTTTTCGTCGTCGTTGTCATCGTCGCGGTTGGCGACATTGCCGTCATCGCCGTCGTCGTCGTCGGCGTCGTCGTTGTGATCGTCGTCCGTCACCCGCGACGTCATCGCCGTCGTCGTTCGTCATCGTCGTCGTCGTCGTCGGCGGCGGCGTCGTCGTCTGCGTCGTTTGCTGGCGGCGACGACGGCGTCGTCGTCGTCGTCGTCGTGGCCGGCGGGGTGGAGGGAACGAGGGGAGGGGGAGTTTGGACCCCTCGAATAATTTTCCCGGGCGTGGGTTGGGGGGGTCCTGGGTTCCAGGACTTCTCCGTACCCTCTTGTTTTTTGGGAGGCTGGGCCCCCCCGGCAACCTGCCAGCAGCGGCAGAAGACGCTCCTTCCTGGCAATGCCACCTAACATGCGTGGAGCCGCCGTAACTGATGAGAGGCACGAGCCGCATGTGTTTGTTGAGTGCCGCCCGCCCTCCGGGGGTGTTCCCGGAGGAACCCCTCTGAAGACGAGCGCAGGCAGTGTCTTCCTGGCGATGACCACATTCAGCATTAAGCCGTAGGTCGGGCATGTCCCCCTACAGGCGGAGTTTGGACGACAAATAAACCATGTCACAAAGTGCTTCAAACAAATCCAAACATAATCGAGAAATCGTCCCCGCATCAATTTCAGACTATGTCTGAATCTTCCTCCTGTAGAAGGACACGCCCGACCTAACATTACCCGTCCACTGTCCGCGTCATCCGTGGAAGCATTCGAACGAATATGCGCGACGCTCCTGGCGAGACCTAAACTTGAAAACATAATCATCCGCCCCACAACCTTGCACTGTTGGAAACGTTCGGCTTCAGAACAGGAAAGGAACAAGAATTCTTAAGCGTAGCCCCCAGCCACCCTGAACGTCTGATGATGCGACCAGGACCAGTTACTCATAAAAAGGACGGGGGCCCTGAAGGTCGCCGCCGTTGAGCCAGGGCTCCAATGGTGCGGTAGCTGCGTTCTCGTAATGTTTCATTACTGCGGGGAAGGGCCGGGGAGAAGGACAGGAGGGACGGGAAGACCAAATGAGGGGGGGGGAGGCGGAGAGATGGGGTCCGGGACGATTATCCGTCGGTCGGAAGATGTAGGTCGAAACATGAAGTAGGAAGGCGTTGGAAGCAGATCGGGTCGTCGCGGACTCCCCTGGAGAGGAGGGAAGAGGGACATGTGTTCAAACTGTTGAAAACATGTTCTAGAAGTGTTTAAATCACGTTGCTCAAAACATGTGTAAAACATGTTTTAGACGTCTGGACATTGTTTGACAGCATGCTTCCTCTCAACTGATCGTTCTCCACAAAGGTAGAAGATGTGAGGAGCGGGGGCGGAGAGGAAGAGGAACGGGATGGGGAGAGGGCGGGGAAAGGGGGCGAACGCAAGAGACACGAGAACGGAGAAGACCGAGGCAAGGAGGAAGATACCCGTGCGCTGGGGAGCGACGCTGGCGCGGGGCACCCGAATCCAAGCATGCCCGCCATGCCCCGCCTCGCCTGGGCCGGAATGCGCGAGGGGCGGCGAGAGAGAACAGAGAGGAGCAGGGGGGCTGGGGGAACCAAAGCGTGAGATGCACCACGTCCAGCATCGCAGCCCCAAATCAAGGCATCGATGCCGCCTCGCGCGATGCAACTATTCGAAGAATTACTCATCGCCACCTCGCGGGGCCACCGGGCTGCTGTGAATGTGAAGGCATCCTGAAGATTGAGTATCACTGGGTTTTGCCTGAACGCAGAGGTACGCATGCCACAGGAGCGAATTCGTAACAAGTTAAGGGCCTCTGGAGTATGTAACTGGGAAAAATATGAACATTCGCATTGAGAGGTCCGCGCGAAGGTTTTGGGTCGGCGCTGGACCCCCACCCCCTACGAGACCTGCAGAGGCGGGGGGACCACCGCAGACCCACGACATCTGCGCGGATTTCCGAAATTGTATTTTTATGTAGTTCGCTTCCCGTCAAGACACGATTCCATCTGTAGCCATCCTGAGTACGTAACTGGACGCTGGTCCACACCTGTTCATTGGCACGCTGAGAATGGGTACGGAAACAATGCGCACAATCCTGTACTACATCGAGCGTTGTTCCAAATCGACAATCGGGGTTGTCTGTTAGGCTACGTCTTGTCTCAAGCTGACAACGCCCGCGGCGACATCGACATCGAATTATCGTGCTCAACATGGGAACGAACTGCTGCAAGATCGGTCAACACCAAATGTGAAAATCCGGTCGAATTGGCATATGACTCGGATCAAACTGCATCAGCACGGAGTCGAAATCGAATCGGGCCAGCTGCGACCGGATACACAACTACGCTGTGCAAACTTCGGGCCGCATGCATCGCCGGTGAATCGAAATCGAAACGGACCGAGCGGGGTGCACTCGGCATCGAGTCGGATCGACCAGACCCAAATGGGTGCTGCTGTGGATCTTCGTCCCCGTTCTTTCCGTCCCCACTTCGGTCCTCCTGCCTTCGCCTTAGAAACGCACCGACTAGGGTCAATGCAAGCCCGGGTCAGTCAGAATCCTGCAGGATCCTGCATGCAGACCCGGGTCGGTGCACCCCTGGATCTGCAGGATCCTGCAAGATCCGCCGCTCTGGTCGACCCCCGATTGCACTTCCCCCCCGTCCCATGAGCTCCGAGCTGTGAGGGGCAACGACAGGGGGGGATAGACATAGGGGGTGATGAATCGACCTGGGAGTGGCGAATACATCGTCGATAGCTCGGCGATAGGCCCCCGATAGTGAATCCGCACCTTCCTGGGCGGGGTGGGGTGTTGGGTCCCTATCGGCGGTCAGTGGGCGATTGGGGGTCGATGCATCCCCCCTACACCCTGCGAAATGCTTAAGAAAGTATGGGTCAAGAAATTCATCGTCTCAGAATTTGAATAAAAACCCAGAATTTCTACTCGAATCTTAGGATTCACATTGAAACATTAAGGATCATCGAGACTCTGGCCGAAAACGTAAGTTTTGTAAAGCATCGCCTAAGGTGTATGCATATCCCCCCTACCGTTGCCCCGGAAGCTGCCCCTGCTGCCACCCTCCCCGGGGGGCCCGCCTCGCTTTCGTCCAGCATCTTCATGATGCGCATGAAGGTCAAGAAGTCCACCCTCACCTGTCTGGGGCGGGCGGCCTCTCCTCCTCCTCCTCCTGGCTCCGCGCTCCTCCTCGTTCCTGGGCCCTCCTCCTCCTCCTCCTCCTGCTCCTCCTCCTGCTCCTCCTCCTCCTCCTCCCCTCCCTCCTCCTCATCCTCGTGGACGCTTCCTTATTCGGCGTTTCGACATTGAGCGAAAGGGGGGCGAGGGGGGGTCTGGCTCTGGACCTCTGTGTACTGCGACTGTTTGGAACAGTGCTCCTACGGGACCCCCATGCTCACTCTACCTGCCTGAAGACAGGCGCCAGAAACAACCAAGGTCTAATCCTGGGGGGGAGGGGGTGCGAGGGCCCGCGCTGGTATAAGAAAATGATCGCCTCCTGCTTCTGCATCCCGCTGTTTTGTCGACAGCTGCGTGCGCTGCACCGCGGCGAGGTCGACGAAGCGAAGCCGACGCGCAAGCTTGAAACGAACACGGCTGGGGGCTGGGCAAACTGCCTACTCCATCCCTTTTCCTTACAAGTAGCAACTCACTGTCGCAACCCCAGACGGATCGGTAGGGCGGGCCATGCGTTTCGCCTGAGACTGCTGCCTCACCATGCGTGGTCCTGAAGCCTGCAAGCTGCGACACATTGGACTGCGCACATTCGTATGGAGGGTGGTTGATTTTCAAGATGTGGCTCTCGCCCTGGAGCCGCATGCTTCGTCTTGAAAGTTTGCAGGAGGAAGGGCGATTGGCTTTCAAATTGTGGATCCCCGCTTAGCGCCGCGCACATTCGTCTCTACTCGTTCCAGCAATTAAATGTGGCTCGCGCCTTGGCGCCGCGCACTGTTGTTTTAAGGTTGGCAACGGCTTTAAGGATGTATACGGTTGAAGCCTTGTGTTTTGGTATGAGTTAAGGTGGCTAGGGCGCAGCAGTCACGTCGATTCGCGGTGTTGAGGTACCAAGAGTGGGATTCTGGCGCGATTGAGGACTGTCAGGAAGCAAAACAAACAAGTTGATTCGAAGCGCTGCGGTCCCAGGAATGGTGTTGTGGCACGGGAGGGTTTGCTGCAACATCGTTGATGCGTCCTAGGTTTACGCTGGTCCTCCTCCTCTTCCTCGATCCGCCTCCTCATCCTCCTCCTCCATCCCCGTTCCACATAAGTAACTCCTCCCAACCGCACCCGCAGAGGAGTGGGTCGGGCGGGCCGGGCGTTTCGTCAGAGATTTCCTCGTCATTTGCGATCCTGGAGCTTGATTGGATTCTTCTACATTTCCGCGTGTTGAGGGCGGGTGGCTTTCAATATGTGGCTTTCGCCCTAACGCCGCGCAGCGCACATTCGTCTTCAACGCATGCACCAGTTTCACGGATGGAAAACTTGTCGCTTTCAAAATGTGGCTCTCGCCCTAGCGCCGCGCACGCTCGTCTTTACAATCTGCAACAGTTGAGACATGAGAGGCGGTTCGTTTTCAAAATGTGGCTCGCGCCTTGGCGCCGCGCACTTCCGTTTTGTAGTTGGCAACGGTTTCAAGGGTTCACATGGTGGAAGTCTCATGTTGTGGCGCGAATTGAGACTGTCAGTACGCAGCAGTCACGTCGAGCGCGCAGTAGTCTTTAAAGTTTGCAGTGTCACGAACGAAGGGCTAGTGGTTTTCAAAATTTGGCTCGCGCCCTAGCGCTGCGCGCATTCGTCTCAAACATGTGAAGCAATTTCACGGATGGAGGGCGGGTGTTCAAAATATGCAGCTCTCGCCTATTCGTCGCGCACCTTCGTTTGACTCGTTAGCAATACTTTTACGGATAGAGGTTAGGGCGTGTTCGAAATGTGGCTCTCGCCTCAGCGCCGCGCGCATTCGCATTGAAAGGTTGTAGCAACTTCAAGGGTTCGCATTGTCGCAGTCCTAGAAAGGGCTCCCGTATGATTTAAGGTTGTCAGGACGCATCAGTCACGTTGATTCGCGGTGTTGAAATCCCAGGAACTATGTTCTGGCACGGCTTAGGATTGTCCAGACGCAACAGTCGCGTTTATCCTCGATGTTGAAGTCCCAGAAACTGCGTGTTGGCACACATGAGAATTCTCAGACGGCTGTCTTCCCATGGGGCATTTCCTACAGCGAAAACATAGAAGCTAGTGTGCTATGAGGGAGAGGGAGCTTGGAGGCATTTGTTGGTGCAACATGTTTGATGCGTCTTCGGATTGCACTTGTTGTCCTCCTCCTCCTCCTCGATCCTCCTCCTCCTCGATCCTCCTCCTCCTCGATCCTCCCCCTCCTCCTCGATCCTCCTCCTCGCTCCTCCTCATCCCCCCCCTCGCGCGCGCAGGACAACCACGAACATGCACGGCCAGGCGCTGCGCGACGGCAGACGGAGCCGCCCAGCGCACGGGCACGCGCCTCTTTCTGCCGCCAGCGGGCGGCTGCGGAAGACCCCCGAGGCCGGGCTTCGCGAGGACCTGTGCGATGGCAGGTGAGGAAGCTCTGCCATGGGCTGAAGTCGGGCCTGTCCCTCTATTCAAACATAGTCAAAACATAGTCTGGAGACGATTTGTCGATCATTTTTCACTATGTTTGAATATGGTTTGGGTACCCTTAGGTTTCATTCCAAATCCGCCTGTAGGGGGACATGCCCGACCTAACCAGGGTCGCGCGCTCCCCATGGACGGGCGGAAAACAAGTTCAAAGGGGACGTCCGAACTGATCAAGCACGGCTGGCTGCAGTCAGGCTTTCCTCGCGAGACGGTCACAACAAGGGGGCGGGAACTCTTCCGCCGCCCTGAGGGGGCGGACGTCATCTGCTGTTGAAAGCCTGACCTGATGGACGCCGCAACGGTGGCAGAGGAGGTCCCTTGGCTATTCATTCTGGGGACCTTCCTGGAGACACTCGCTCCACTCGTTTGTCGAAGCTGCGTCGAACGTCCGTCGATTCGAGTCAACCCTGAGTCGAACCTGAGTCGAACCTGAGTCGACCCCGAATCGAACTTGAGTCGAGCTCGAGTCGAACTTGAGCCGAACTGGGGTCGAACTAGAGTCAAACAGGTCCGTCAGGTGGGCCACAGGAAGGTCCCCCAAACGAGCATCTAAGTCCCCAACTCTCCTCCTCCTCCTGCTGCCCCTCCTCCTCCTCCTCAGCCTCCTCCTCCTCCATTCCTTTTCCTTGTAAATAACTTCTCCCTGTCGCATCCCGATGCCAGTGTTTAGGGCGGGCTGGGCGTTTCGCCTGAGACTTCCTCACCATGTATGATCCTGAAGCTTTAAACATGGCAACGGTTTCATTCACAAACGGAGGGCGGGTGGTTTTCAAAATGTGGCTCTCGGTTTAGCGCCGCGCACATCCGTTCTAACATTTGCAAGAGTTTCACGGATTGAGGGCGGATGGTGTTCAAACTGTGGGTCTCGCCTTGGCGCCGCGAGCATTCGTTTTAACATTTGCAAGAGCTTCACGGATTGAGGGCGGGTGTAGCGCCGCGCACACTCGTTTTGAACAAGAGCGTCACGGATTGAGGGCGGGTGGTTTTCAAAATGTGGCTCTCGCCTTAGCGCCGCGCATATTCGTTTTCAAAATTTGCAGGAGTTCCACGGACTCCCACGGTCAGCATACCAAGACTTGTGTTTGGGGAAAGATTCTGGATTAGAGGGCGCAACAAGTACGTTGATTCGCTGTGTTGAAATCTCAGGAATGGTCTCTCGCTGGGCGCAACAGTCAGGCTGATCCGTGGCGTAGGAATCCCGAGAACATTGCGTTGGCATGCTTCAGGCTCTTCAAACGGCTGTCTTCCAACGAGGCAACTCCCTCAGTGGGCTTGAGCCGTTGTAGGGGCCTGTGAAGAGGGAACTTGGAGGGAGGGCTCACTCCAACACCGTTGATGACTCTTGGGTTTCCACTGGTCCTCCTCCTCCTCCTCCTCCTCCTCCTCCTCCTCCTCCTCCTCCTCCTCCCTCGTCCCCAAGGGGCCTCTGAAGGGGCCTCAGAGCCTCTGGCCCACGGCGCACGCACGAGAGGCACGGCGGCGGCAAGGCCCGGCCCCCGGGGCCCGGGACCCGTGCCGCGCGCCCCTCGGGACCCCCGCCGCCTGCACGGCGACGGGGGCCACCAGAGGCGCTGCCGCCCGCGGCAGGGCCGCGGGCGGCAGAAGCCCTGCAGACCGGCTGCAGCCGACCCGCGTCACAAGGACGCGCGATGGGGATGCGAGGGAGGAGGAGGAGGAGGAGGAGTAGGAGGAGGAGGAGGAGGAGGAGGAGGAGGAGTAGGAGTAGGAGTAGGAGTAGGAGTAGGAGTAGGAGTAGGAGTAGTAGGAGGAGGAGGAGGAGGAGGAGGAGGAGGAGGAGGAGGAGGAGGAGGAGGAGGGGGGAGGAGGAGGAGGAGGAGGAGGAGGAGGAGGGGGGAGGGGGAGGAGAGGGAGGGGGAGGGGGAGGGGGAGGAGGAGGAGAGGGAGGAGGCGGCGAAGGGAGGAGGAGGGATGAGGGGGAAGCAAGAGGACGCAGGGCGGTCGGCCATGTCGGAACTTCGCGGGCGGGGCGCGGCCAGCACAGGCGGCCAAGGACGGACCGAGGAGGCAGGGGTGCAAGGTCACCCTTGGAAGGATGTTCCTATGCGGGTGGACTGCACCTGCCAGACCATCCAAACCTAACCCGAAGATCCCAATTTCGGGTTGGGGGGGGGTACGGGTTCCATGTTTTTTTCATTGCTCCCCGATCCGCCCCCCCCCCCACACTGGAAATGGAGAGCAAATTGAGGCCTTCGGATTGGGTTCGGGTGATTTGGTGGGTGGTGACAAACGCCATGGACCGTGGTGGACGGAAGGGAGGGGAAGGGTAGCAAAGGGGTGGGCGAGTTAACCAGCTGCATGTGGCTGGTTGTCCTGGCTCCTCCCCGCGCTGGGAGGCGGCCGTGCATCGGGAAAGGCGCCTGAGCGGCAGGGCCGAAACTGGCGGCATGCAGCACAGTTCGCACATTACAGTGGAGGCCAGTCCACCAGAAAAACCTTCCACAAGAAACCCTGAGACCCCAGCACGTGCATTGACTCGTGGTGTGGGACC